AAATTTAGAAATTCAAAAAAGATTGTTAAATGTGGTATTACAGACGAAAGATGAGGATATCGTGAATAGAGAAGGTTAGAAATCAAGAGGTATTAGAAAAAATAGGAGAATAGAGGTCATTATGGTAGTCAATAAGAAATAGGCGAGAGGTTGGTTAGGCACCTTTTCAAACATGAAGGGCTACTGAGAGACACATTAGAAGCAGAAACAGGAGTTAAGAGGAGTAGAGGTAAATCTAGATAAGATTTACAAATAATTAAGGATGTGCGATGCTCCACTTTTTGGCGTAAGAAATAGTGGAGGTGCGTGTCCAACCAGTCTTAGAACTGACAACCTTAATGGTGATGACAGTACTGTAGTTGATTTTAGCATTCAAGGTCGATAGGAACTGTTCTTTCTTCCGACAAATTCGGATATACATATATTGTACTTGAGTTTATTTTATTTTATATCTTATAATGGAGACAATTACTACTAACTTGTAAAAGTACGATTATAATAAGAAATGACAACGAACTATTGCGTTTCAAAACCTCACATGTTTACTCAGTTAATGTTTAATTGTTAGGATAAGTACTTTACTGAGGACGTCGAATTGCCTGGTTTTTGTAGGACAAATTTCACAACAGATAACACGAAAATGCCTTCAGGCGTGATTAATACTAGAAAACAGTAACAGAACAATGGTGTTTTTTGAATTTCGGTGCTTAAGTTCTACATTAACCTACTTAACATTCATATGACTAAATATGGGCAGTTTGTTTTATTTTCCTTTTTAAGTTATCTACACACATTCCTCCTTGAAACACGGGTACACTATTACTTAATTTAGTCGGCATTGAACTGCAAAGGTGAAAAAGTGCAGCTAAAACGAATAGCTACGGAATGATAATTAGTTTATCCACAACAACAAGTTTATAAGTTTGTATTATTTAAATTAAAAAAGAAAAAGCAAAATCTGCGTCGTTTGGGCAACCGCCGTTTCGGTAGTCTTTCAACTGTAGCAACTGCTTCATTTATAGCGCCCGTTTTTCTTTTTTCCTATTGAAATTATCTGGGCGTTCGAAGATTTCAATGGCTTCCCATGCAATTCTGGGAAAGCAGCGTTGGGTGTGATCTAGAATATCTACATCTTTGGATATGCCCAAATTATGCTCGTTTGCACCTCATCCTGTTACACATTAACTGGTGTAATATTATTTCCTTTTCTTGATTAGTGTCCGCTGCAATTCCTATCTGACATCTCTTTTCTATGTAGGCGTTCTGTCAGCAATCGCTCTAGTTAGTACGTTGAAAGAAGAACATAAATGCGACAGTTTTAATGTAGACCATGCCAAGTTTAAACGTCCCTACTATGGTTGGTATGATGCATTCGGCTAATTTTAGTCAGTTGGGGGTCGAGTGACCCCTTTTTCGAAAGCTTAAGTCAAGACCTTTCGCGTAATACCATTTTCAGCGTGCAGAGAAGAACTTGGCTCTTGATCCATTTCAACAACAAATATTAGGAGTCACTCCTAACCTAGGTCGCTAATGGTTACTTTGGCTTCTTCCCCTGAGGGTGGTATTATTCTAGAGGTCTTGACCCCAACTTTCCAAAAGGGTACCATTTGACCCACCAGTCCCCAAAACTGAATCAGACGATCAACTTGAACAAACTGTGAAAATTTGGCTACAGAAGATGAGAGTCCGAAAAGGTGTTTTTTTGGCTAATTAGTAAAAAAAAAAAGAATACATGTTATTATATAGAACAAATTTCAATTTAATTTAAATTTCATAAATACTTATTGTGCTAAAAACTGAATGTCAGTGAAACTTATGATTAGTCCAAAAAGCCCCTTATTAGACTCTACTCTTTTTCGGTATTTAGAGACATTTTATTGGTATTCGACATGATGTCACTTATACATATTCGCTAGTGTATGAACAGAAGATACGAGACTGGAATCCTTTAAATCGTTTAACATGCCATTCTCATCGACTGATGAAAGTGATTCCAACTTACGTAATCATGTGCTCGAAGGAAAATTTAAATTACCAAATTAGATTGGAATATCAAATGTATATTGTGCTTCGCAGCCAATTCGAATAAATCGCTGTTATCATTTCCGTCTGGGCGATTCTAAAAACATCTGGCTTTAAAAGGGATTAACTAACGCTCAATCGGATTGGATTACAGTAGGTACAAAGATTGTGAATTGTATGCCAAAATTTTCTGACCTCACGAACGAAAAGTTACAATAGTTTTTTTTTAATATAATGGCTTATCATTTTTAGGTTCTAGCAAATGTGTTGGCGAGTAATAACAAAGTTGAAATATTTTTCTTAAATTGCGGCTTAATATGTACGTAAGATATAACTAAACGTCGACGATTCTAAGTAACGAATTGATAAGCTATCGCAAATGAAATTTTTGGTATTATTTTTATCATATTTCGTGGCTAAAGGAACAAATATCATTTCTACGTCTCAAGTACCTATATGTCTGTAACTGCGGCTGCAACAAAACAATTCGTTTAATTTATCTTTATGTGAAGTTATTACGGACTGTGTACACAACAATGATGAGGTTCTTCCTCTGAAACATGCGTATGAATGGTAAGTTCCTTAGTGAAATTATTCTGGATAATTAAACGGTACTAATTGGTGTTAATGGCAAGTGTTGAGAAAATGGAATAATTGTCCACAGTAAAGAGAAGAGGGTCCTCGATAATACGAGGGTGGATTGATAAGTTTCCGGCCTAACCAAGAGATGACGCCACTAGGCCTACCTTGAGGTGACATTCTATAGTACCATCCTTGGATAGCTTGTAGCTATAGTTTCAGCCCGATCTCCTTGCTAGTGTAGGTTTGACAGCACGCTGAACAAGACGCCTCTGTGGTTTTCGTAAAAATGGAAAAGCAGGAAAATCGTGCTGTCATCAAATACTTTTATTTGAAGGGGTTAACGCCGAAGGAAATTAAAAAAGAGATGGACTCAACACTGGGGACATCCTCCCCGTCATATTCAACCGTTAAGCAGTGGGTTTCCGAGTTTAAAAAGGGTCGTGTGAGCACCTCTGATGGGCCTCGCTCAGGACGCCCCGTTGAGGTCACAACTCCAGATATGATCGAAAAAATTCATCAAATAGTGCTGGGAGACCGCAGATTGAAAGTGCGTGAGATAGCTGAGACCTGTAAGATGTCATATGAACGTGTGCAACATATTTTGCACCAACATTTGCATATGGAAAAGCTCTGTGCAAGATGGGTGCCGCGTTTGCTAACAGTCGACCAAAAATTGATTCGAAAAAACATTTCTACCGCAAATTTGTCATTGTATAAGCGTAATCCAAGCGAATTTTTGCGTCGATTCGTAACCGTTGACGAAACGTGGGTCCACCACTACACTCCTGAAACCAAAGAACAGTCTAAACAGTGGATTGGACCAGGGGAACCAACTCCAAAGAAGGCAAAAACAATTTTTTCGGCGAACAAGGTTATGGCTACTGTTTTTTGGGATGCAAGAGGTATTATATACATTGATTACCTTGCAAAGGGTAATACTATCACTGGTCAATACTACGCAGACTTATTGCAACGTTTGAGCCACGAGGTGAAAATTAAACGACCTCATCTGGCGAAGAAAAAAATCTTGTTTCATCACGATAACGCACCAGCGCACACGTCAATCGTTGCGACGGCTAAAATCAACGATCTAAAGTTTGAATTGATGCCGCACCCTCCTTACTCTCCAGACCTAGCCCCGAGTGACTATTTTCTGTTCCCTAATCTCAAAAAATGGCTTGGCGGTAAGAGATTTGCGGACAATGAAGAAGTAATCGAAGCTGTAAATGGTTATTTTGAGGAGCTTGACGAATCAGTCTATAGAGATGGCATTAATAGACTGGAACACCGCTATGAGAAATGTATCAGCCTTGGAGGAGATTATGTTGAGAAATAAAAAAAAAAAATTTTTAAAAACCTTGTTTTTCTTGGTCAGGCCGGAAACTTATCAATCCACCCTCGTATGTGGTAATATGCTGAATCCACTTACAAATGTTAACTTTTATTAGAAATACAAAAAGAAGGTGTGTTTCGCGTGACAAACGACCAATGTAATTTTATTATCACTATATAAATGCTGGATTTAGATTTTAGAGAGTTAGGGTTTTGTAAAATTTCATCCGACTTCTGTAGTGAAGATGTTACCGAATTAAAATGGAAAAAAGGCGTTTTTCTATTATAATTTTACCTGCACTCATAATACAATCATCTGAAGAAACATTCACATTCGTAACGTTTAATCTTGTCTACTCCAATGATCGAGTCTCAGGCTCCACATAAGAAATTTTACTGCTTTCCTCTTCGTGTGCTTTTCCTTTTTAAGCTGCCACAGAAACGCTGTCCTTTTCCAAATAATACTACAGAAAATTGGAAAAAATAATGAAAGAAGAAAGTATCTTCTAATCGTTTAGATGTATTCTTTGAAGGCCAACTTTATTTAACTTTAACTACGGTTTTGAGATACGTATATCTTAAACTCAAAACCAAACAACTCAAATTAATCGGTAGAAACAGGTTGAGTTTCTGCTTCGGGTGTTTCGTTGGAAAAGCAGTTCAATATATACGTATTAGTGGAAGAACCACCGTAAGATTGAACGTATTTTAAATTTGATAATATCCATATTTTATCTTGCTCATTATTTGCTTTTTTTTATCTATCACTAATCATGAGTCTTGGCGACGTTGAGAATGTATTTTTACTGCACCCATTTATGACTAGACTAGAATTAAAACGCAGCATGTTTTCATATTGAGGAATCTTTTATTAATAAACGTTATGTAAAACAATTGTTAAAAATGTTACCAAAATAATAGTATGTATTATGAGATCGCGAGGTAGCCGCTGGTGAGTATTGAGATTAAGGGTAATCCGACACTATTTCTGTAACAAAACTAACTTCATTTATTAAGCACAGTATTCATTATCTGTTATTTATAAGTCTTTGTTTTGTTTTCAGGGGAAATCCTCTTGGTTTTGGTCATCCATTCCCCATCAAATATTCATAAGGTAAAGCAAAATATATTAAATGTTTACTTTTGTATAAAGATAGTACAAACATTACGTATACATATTTTAACTGAATAAAAAAATTGATTTACATTATAAAGCTAAATTGTGTAGGTACTAAAGGCTTAAAAATATTGCACCTAAATTAAGTTTCTGTTCGATATTTTCTTGGTAACCATCAACGCGGAATTTTAAATTACAACATACAGGGTTGAATAAGACACATAGCGAAGGGAACGGGAGTTCAATTTGACAAGTCGATATCCCTTCTTATTGTTAGAAGAGGACTTTCTGTAAGAGCTTCCTGTCTGACCGTTGATGTGAAGAATTAAATGGTTCGAATCGCGGTCCACGACAATTCCAACTATCTGCAAGATCTTTAAGTTGTATGCTTATAGCAAGTACGAACAGTGCTCAATAACATAATTAATTAGATCCATCATCAGCTTCATTGTTATCAACGTGTACCTACTTATATTAAACGAAGACAAAGTTTCAATAAGGATGTAGGCACGCTAATAATAATCCTTACTTTAAAAAATTGAAAAGCGACGTCCTAGCATGCATAATATGTCAAGTTACCCGTATAACTGTAGCATGCACGTTTAAATACAATTACGTCGAAGATCATATGCACAAATGTGATGAGACCCGTTTCCGGTAAATGACTAACAAAAGCTGTAGTGTTTGAAGCCATTGACTCTTTTCGATACATGGATATGAACTTGTTTCTGTGTAAATGTAAAAGGGAATGCAACAATATGAATGTAGATAAACAGATGTTACATTTCGCTTACGTTATTAGACAAATGTGAAGACTGAAGATGTTTAAACTGGTAGTAAGGGAATACCGTATGTTGTACGTTTGACGCATTTACAAGTGTTACATTTTTTTTCGACGCATTACGGGGAACTTCAAAGTAAATAAAACAACAACTTCTTCACAAGAAAAACCATAAAAATTTATGGGAGGCACTTTAAGCAGTCTAAGTGTGTATATATTTTGATGTAACACAAGCACGTGTTTAAATACTTTATATATTTTTAGAAAAAAATCGATGGATTCATAAGTTTAAAAAGTTATTGAAAGTAGAATAATTATCCTAGGTTATCATAGGTACGTAGTTATTGTTAGGCTTGATTCCCACTACAGGGCCGTCCTCGGTCCGGTAAAATAGTTTTACAGGAGAAACAATGACCCTGTTTACACTGGCGTTATCATGCCGATTTTTGTATCATCTGTTCCCATATCAACACATTTGAAGAAATATTTTATCGAAATTTGTGCCGGATTGTATCGGTAGTGTGATGAACACGTTTTTGACTGTTCTTAATTCCCTTATTATCAATCTAATCTTTCAGAATCTGATGATACGATAGAATTTATTATGTAATTGAAAGTTAAATTATAAACTTAAAAAATAGCATATACAGGTTATAATATTCGTCTTCAGTTTTTCGCATTTTTATTGGACAATTTGAACGGTATTTCTCCACGACTGTAGAAATAAGACTGAAACTCGATCAAAACTTGAATACTAATGTGAATATGAAGTGATGTATGTATCTTGGACCGAAAACGTACCTACCGAGAGTATTCCCATAGTGTGAATAGATCATTAAACATCATTTTAAAGAGAGGGTGTACTTCCCTGCCCCTCCAAATCAATCCCCAAAATGTATAATTACAATGTTACAATTAAAATTTTTTTTTGCGATGCAACTACAAATTTACGGTTTCCTGATTTTTCCTTTTACTTGTACTGTAAGACATGTTTTTTTTTTGTCAAATTTAATGATTCTGGGTCAACTGGAAGTACTCTAATAGGTTTTGATTACCTTGCGAGTGTCAAAATAAGCGCCATAAACGGCCATATATGTTGATGGCGTTGTCTTAGAAGTTTAATTTTTTAACAGCTCCAGGGGGTTTGTAGACCTGAGAATTTGATATTAATTTCAACTTGACACCGCAACGCGTTCCCGAAAAAAAGGTTCTTGTTAAACAGACAGATAGTCACAGGGACAACGAAGTAATCCTATAATCCCTAAATTCCCTAACAATACCCGAAATTCAGTACGTAATGACGCGCTTGCAACTGAACTGAAAATATTACAATTTCGAAAACATTTTCATAAATAAATCCTTTTGACTTTCAGAATTACTTATACCAAGTATCGACATTTCTTCTGTTTACTATAAACTTAAACGGCTTAGATAAATCACCCTGTATGTACGCAATACTATTTGTCATTTCTAATATGAGAATGGAGAATGGAGAATCGGATTGTTGTTAGCAGAATGACTTAGTAATGTAGTTAAATAAACATAAATAATATATACATATTTAGAATGACGTTAGTTCTGAAAACTTGACTTCTAGTTTTATGCCCTGAAGCAGAATCGTGTTTGAGTCATCACGATTTGCTGTTGCTAAAGAGAGAATGGTTTGGGTCTTCGTCATGACAGCATGCTACTAATTGTAGGATAGATTTGTTGATGTTTCTCGTAATATCTTTTTACCATTTAATTGTCGGGGGGATCGACTAATTACTAATATGGATAATGAAAATCATCATCTCTCTCCTACAAAAAAACTAATAATTTCATTTGTAAACTTCGAGTACTTTTTCCAGTGCTCCCCATAACGAAAATTCTTTACGAAGAGTTTACACTAGAGATGCACCTGATAATGATTTTGCCGGGTACCGGATAACCGCAAACCCGGCATTAGCTGTGCCGGATAAAAAACCACTATGGTTAATGGTTCATGTCTTCTCCGTTTTGATGGACTTTCTTTAAATACCCTCTCACCGACGTCGCAAACCACATTTAGTTCCCTTCAAAAAGTCGTTTAAACGCTAAAGTTGCTGAGAAACTAAATGCCATTCGATTTTTACCAATGATTTAGAAATCAGACGGGTCGTCGCGAAATTCGTACCAAAATAGCTCAGTTTCGACTAAAAGCAACACTGCATTAATATTGCTAAGGAGCTCTTGGACTCTGTCCGCGACGACCCAAATTTGCTCCAGAGGGTGGTGACGAATCATAGGTTTATGATTATGACATGCAAAAACAAAGCTCAATTACCTCAATGGAAGCTGCCGTACAGCCAAGACCTAAAAAAGTACGCCAAGTTTCTTCGATTGCAGGTGCGTGGTGCATAATGAGTTCTTGCCACAGGGTATAACGGTCAATAAGGAATATTACCTGTGTGTTATGCGCAATTTGCCCGAAGCAATCCGCCAGAAACGCCCGGATTTGTGGAAGAAGAAAAATTGACTTTTGCACCATGATAACGCCCCTGGTCACACATCGTTGCTTGTACGCGAATAATGCCGCAGCCACCGTATTCCCCAGATCTGGCCCCCTATGACTTTTTCTAGTTGCCTAAACTTAAGAGGCCCATTAAAGGACGACGCTACGCTACAATTGAGGAGATAAAGATAAGTATCGAAGGAGGAACTGAATAAGATCACAAAAATTTTTTTTTTTGAAGTTCATGAGGATTGGAAAAAACGTTGGCACAAGTGTATAATATCTGGTGAGGATTACTTTAAAGGAGACAAAATAGATATTCATAAATAAATAAATAATTTTTGAAACAACATAAAATTCGCGATACTTTTTAAACAAACCTAGTAAAAGTTTGCAGGTGACAAAATAATACTAACAAGATATCGTTAATCAAAACTTGATATACCAATAAACAACAGCAGTTGTAACAATTCGGCCATAGTAATGTATTTTTTTTTTTTCACGAGAAAAAGTAAATGCAACAACTATATCGAAATAAGAAATAGTTTAGCAAAAGAATCGATAAATAATATAAATTAGAACAAACGATCTACCCCAATACAATCATAATTACCAATTTTAATTAGGTAGGTCTTTTGTTATACTTTTAAAATTATTATTGCTAGTGTTTGTTTTTTCTTTTTTCTCTGGTACAATTACTCCGATACGGATCCTAAAAAGAATGCCGGATCCGCAGGAGACCGGACCTAAACCGGGTAGGTACCCGGTCCATTACTAGTTTATATTGAACTGTTATTTGTATCGGTGTTTGGTGGTATAATAACAGAATGAAGACATTGTTGATAATGTATGTAATAAAAAGCGACATGTTCACTGAAGAGGAAAATATAAATTGATGTGTTACGGTATTTTTTTTGTCTAGAAAACCAGGTATGAATTGAGCCTTGTGCTTTTATTGTTGTTATAACTCGGTAGCCTGATTTACTTTGTAGAATCATATTATCTGTATGTGCAAGTCGATAGAAATTATCATAGCGGTGCAGTGTGGTATTTATCGACATCCTCCTATTGGAACGAACACTGAACTGTCTGTTACTGTTAAAAGATAATAGAAGGAAATTAATGGAAAATGGAACTCGTAAATACCTACTGTTGAACATAAAAATTGAAATTACGCAGAAGAGATGTCTGTCGTGCGGTTAGGAATTACAAAATAATAGGTCACGTGCTTTTATTTTATCTAGAAGAAAAAAATGCCGTGCTAATCAGAGCACAATTTCTTCATTCCTTAGAAAACCGCACTTTATAAAAATCGTAAAAAATTGCAATACGAAATATAAACAAATTGCCTTTAATATTTTAAATTCAATAGGCACAAGTTGCAATAGGGAAAGTTACATTTTTCGTGCTGAAAAATATCGTCAGTGCTTCGAATTTTATTGTTACAAAACGAAGTAAACGATCTATAGTTCTTTATGAATTTCTAGCACAAAAACAAAACAAAAGAAATAAATCTGTATCTACAAACAAGAAGTCTACAGATAGGAGCAACAAAGCAAATACATTCGAAAAGCGTCTTTAGTAAAAAAAAGTTGTTGCACAATTTTATATTATTGTTCTTTGTAACACAAAAAACGCACAATCTTTATTACACAGTTTTGTTTCAGTTTTCCTTTAATTAAATTTAACTATGTTGTGTTATTATTATTGGCTTTTGGCATTAAATTAGACGAACTTCAGTATAGTTTATAGTAAGTAGCTTGGGAATGCTTTTTCAAAATGAGATCACGTATTTGACTCCGTCGCTTGTCTTTATTGCACGATTCTTTGTTCCAGAGCATTCGCTGCTGTTTTATTAGTTCCCACGGGCGCACTAGACAATGAGAAGGGGATCAAGTCAAGAAGTGCTGATTCCCATTTATTGTGTAGTCTTGCATATTGTATGTAAATACGTTATAATCAAAATCTAGACAAGTTCAATCCTGAGGTAGAATGGAATATATTTGCTATGGATAATTAAAGAAATTGCGTAGGTACTTCAATCTACTAATCGTGAGTTTTTACTGAAACCTATAATTGTATTTTCCGGCAATGTTAATTGTAATTGTTTGTTATAAAGATGATATTTTAACCAATAAACTACTTAAAAGCAATACCCTGTAATGCTTAGATAACATAACTCCTGACAACCTCCTCTTCATGTCAGCAAAGTCTTACTACATCAAAATGAGTTCTATCCTTTCGAGTATTAGCCTGAACAGACAGACAAAAAACAGATAAAAATTGTTTTAAAAGTTGTTGTGCTCCAATACTTATTGTCAGCTTATAGCACATAGTTGGACTGTAAAAAAGACAGTTATTTGTACATATATTACAGGCAGTTTGATTTTACTCAAAAAACCAATCGTATTGTTGAAAAACTACCCAAACAAAAATCTGACTGACGATGAGGTTAAAAGAAACATTTTTTTTCCAAGTAATTTTGAAAAATTACAAAAAAACTTTCTAATTTGTAGCAAAATGCAATGCAAAAAAGAAAATTGTATGTGTACCAAGTAAGGTTATAATTGTAAGGTACAGAAAAACTTCAATAAGTAGGCACTAAATTGACGATTCTCGAACAGTGAAATAAAAAAGGTTTTATGTTATGTTCTTAGTAAGTACTGAATATTACTATCCCCTTCAATCCAAAATTTTGATTTCGGACAGGCTAGAATTGAACGGAGTTTTGTTAATGTCACAGGACCAGACTCACCGTAATAAAAAGTTAAAGCAAAAGTTTTTAATCAATACACAATCAATAATTATCATACCTGTCCTACAAAATCATTTTAAGGATATTTGATCATTCAACTTATATTATAGTGACAAAAAATTTAATAATGTGAATAAGGTTTCCTTTTTCTATCATCTGGGGTTCACAATGCATAATTTTTAATATCTAAAAATCCACCAGTGATCGCAACTGAAGAATTCTGAAGGTGCGAATAGAAAAGTCAATTTTAAAAATTATATCGTGTTTACGATACGACTCGATGAACGCACTCTTACATATCTTATGCTCTTATTTCATTATTCTGTTGATTTTTTCTCTTAATAACTTTTTGCAACATGAAAGATTTCGTCTGCTGTAAAGTGTCAATTAGGATTCCTAACGCTTTCGCTTTCTTGTTACGTGCCTCTGAACACAAAACAATACAATAGTTTGTCGTCGCGTCAGTCTTTTCGTAGAAATGCCAACCGTATAGTATTGCTCATATTCGGAACAACAATAAATTATTCTACGATACTTTCATCTTTCTGTTTGCTCATCTGTTCATGACGGCGCGGCATGCAACTTACGCGAACCAGGTAGAGTGGGCAGGTAGGTTTATAAACGCGACATTTCGACTCCATATAAGCACAATGCATTTAACTATGTGCTTGCATAAAATATGCGGAGTCACGTCTGCATATTCGTCAACATAATTCATGTTTATATATTTGCAATTGAAACCATGGCTTGTATTTGCTCTACGTGCTACGGATTAAACGGTTTAAACGCAAGAAAACGTATAGGTTTTGCGATCGAGCGGGTTCCGGCTCGCCATTTGGGTTGATCCATATTTGCGAAATTGAGAACACTGATACGATGTTTAAATATTAAAAAGGTTCGTAATGTCAAGTTTATGCAGTTTTGGAACCTTTTAGAAAGTGGCCTATTTTACATTGTGTTCCAGTGATAAATATTAAAAGTATTACATTGTGTTTGGTAATCCGAAAAGCTATTTCCAAATGAGTTGAATATTCTTTATTGTGTTACATTATAAGTTATAAAAAAAATGCAGTAACAAATTTCGAGTTTTGCCAGGGCGAAACAATTACAGTAGGTAATAATGCTAAATTGTGTTCGATTTTTCATCAAGACAAGAACAGATAGGAGCATAACTACATGCGTTGCTTACAGCTTGTGGCATGAAAACGTACTCCAATTCTACTCGGCAGGTCGCTGCGCAGTGACGCAGTGCGCTATCGATTTAACACGCAGATGCGCGTGGACAACGAGATTTCCATGGAGATCCTGTTTACGTTTTGTGTTTGACAACTGACAATAAGGAAATAGATGTGCAGTTGTTTATCGCGCAGCGACTCTGGTGTTTCCTATCTTTTTTTGCTCATGATCCATTCGCTTCACATTGTTTCTTATCCTTTTTTATCAACCAAGGACACTAAATCGTGCTCGATCGCCTGTTGCCCATCCGATTTGCGTGTAGGCAATGAGGTTTTGTTTACGTTTTGTATTTAACAACTGATATTACCGAAATTAATACGCAGTTATCGCGCAACAGACGATTGCCTGTTCTATATTTTATTAGTCATGATACTTTTAACCCCATTTGCTTCGGCTTAAGTTGTTGCTCTTATGTCTTCTTGATTACTACTTTTAGAAACTCAATTTATCCGATAACCTAATTTTTCTTACAATAGTGTACAAACAATTCATTTAAATTAAGGTTGAAAAGGAAATAAAATAAAGTAATAAACCTGTACAATTGATACAGCGAACTGTAAAATAAATTACTCGGTCAGTACAGTAATAAAATTTGGCCAGTTGTATTCTTATGACTATTGTTCCATCGAATTTTTGTTTATTTTAAAAACATCAAGTCAGTGGGTTATTTTTTTGGTTCAGTACCCATGACTCAAGTTGCATGATGAAATGTCAGTCAAGTGTCTTTTTTGCACTTTCACTTCTTTTGTGCACCCACTTGCCTCACTCTAGTATAATCGAGTACTCTACAGGTAATAATAAAAATTATTGTAATAAGTTTCTGTAAATAAATATTGGTTGATATGATAATGCACCTAACTACATATTTATAGAAAGGTGCGTCAATTTACTTAAATTTCTTTACGTTTTGTTAACATGAATGCGGGTAATACGAATGTTATTACGACCCAATTTCTAAAGAGAAATTTTCATGCCGCAGTCGTTGGATTAAGTTTTTTCACATGATTCTAACTTCCTGGTAATCGTAAAGGCTCAAGAACGTATGTAATAAAAAAAATCTCCATTTATTCACAGTAAAAATTTTCTAAATAAAATAAATAAACTAATAACAGCTGCGCAGCATACGTGTGCCACTGACAAGTAATTTAAAGACAATCAAAATAATTAGGTATCTCTGTAGAAATGCAAACAGGAAAATTAACTACATTCAGTTTTTGATTTCTTGTTTTGCTGCCTATTGAAAACATTTAGATTAAGACTAAGAATATTAAACGCCAGATAATTACAGTAGATACTCGATTGTATGAACATCGCATAACGGAAACCGCAATTGTCAACAACATATTATTAATCCGATTATTTGTGCTACGCCGCTGATTGCCGTGAACAAATGAAATCTTCGCTTTTAAAATCGAACGTCCTTTAGCCTTATTGATTGATATTTCGCTGTTTTTGTTGAGCCCTTACTGTAAATTCCCGATATATTTACTATTCCCCCAGTCGTATATTACTTGGAAAGATGTTCTATTGGTGTATTTATTACACTTAATACGTATAATTGCCGATTGTGTGTACTCGGCAAAATTTTGCCTAATTCATAAAATAAGCAATAGACGACTTGCCGATTTCATGTACTAAGCAAAATCGTGACTTAATTCGGGTACTAAGAAATTAAGTGCAACATTCCTTAACGTGAATAAATGTGGACAGCATTTTTTTTTCGATTGACACTGTCGAGTATCTGCGACATTTATTTATTTATTAATTTATTATTACACTTTAAGGTGTACCCTCTTTGTCATGATTTTCTTTAGTATATATTATGTTAAGGTTTCATTTTACTAACAGAATGTACGCAGAGTTGAGACATTATATGATGATGTTTCAGAATTATTTGACTGCGTTATCTTGAATAATAAGGTCAAGCAAATATGTACAAACTGATCTGACTATCTTGAAGATGATGCACGAATATTGAAAACTGTGTTTAGTTATCAACGGCATACAGCATTTTATCATAAGATTAGGTAATTATATACCTTTTGCGCATAATGCCAATATTATTCATATGCAATAGTTCACGGTATAACGCCGTTTTTTTAAACTATTAATAAATATGTGGGAACACTCGGTATAGCAAGAAATAATTGTGGCTACAATATATTAGAATATGTAGCTTGGTAATTGTGCTTACCTAGGTAAAATTATTACAAAAAGCTCCAACTTATTAAAAGAAAAACGAATAAACCTATTGATAGATTGATAGATCATATTGATATTTAAGGATGTTTGGGTGGTACAATCGGAGACATAAAATTGGAAATTCGTGATTAATTAGGTTTTGCAGCATATCATGAGGTAAATAAATACTATCTATACTAAAAAAAGTATATGGCTTGAGAGAAAATTTGGCATTTGACCAAAAACTTCGAATAAAATAAGAAATAACGAATAATATGGAAAATTTTTAACTGGCTTTTGGCAGTGAATAAGCCTTGATTTCAACTTCGAAACAAAAAAAATATTTAGTTTCGATCTCTATTAATAATGAGCGTAAAACTTTTTAATATGTTTAAATAATAATTAAAACTTTAAAATTGCATTTATTTCAGACAATTATAAATATTATCATTATATTATCAAGTAAAAACGAGATTTTCAGCTAATTTT